GGTTGTCGTCGGAGTCGGACGGTGAGATGCTGACTCGAGCGGGGTAATGGTAGAAGCCAGCGTTGAGACCGAGTGGGGAATAAGATTGGTGGTGTTGGTTGACGGTGACTTGAGGCTGAGCGGTTTTTCGTCGATGGATCTCACATAACAAATGTTTCTCTCCTTTTCTGAAGAACTCGTTGGCGAATTCCCATCTGTCCGGCACAATTTTTCTAAAACCCTAAGAGAGAGAGAGAAAAAAAAAGGAGTTAAAAAAAAAAACATAAAATGGAGGAAATAAAATGGAGGAAGGTGGTTGAGCTTACATAGGTGTTGAGCTGTCGGACAAAGCTAGAGAAGTTGTTGTGCTTGAAATAGTTGGGGAGGAGATCTCTGGCGAATTCAGGAGGGCGCCAAACGACGAAGGTGGTGTCATCTTCGCCCCATGAGACAATATGGTCGGTGGTGGGATCGTCAACGAGCTGGTAAGTTTTAGTGAGAAAGGGAGCTGGGATGGCTTTGTGGGAGTCTAGAGAGAGCAAAACGCCTTCGCAATTATCAAGCATTAGAGCCATTTGGAATAATATGGGAAAGGAAGAGTCTTTTTGGGAGGGGAGGGGAGGGGAGGGGCTAGATAGCAGAGTTTGAAATGGAAGTGGAAATGGAAAGGGAGAGGAAAAAAAAAGAGGGATTTAGGATGGAAAAAACAAAGCGGAAGAAAGGAAAAGAAGTGTGTCGTGTGGTGGGTACCGTGCAGTTAGTTTTTTCATTTTATATTAACAATTTTGGTTTATTAATTTGGTTGTTTGGGTGTGAGAGAATATGTGTCTCTCTGTCTGTGTTGAACTGTGAAATAAGGGCCTTTCAAGACAAACCCGTGACATGTCCATCTCTCCTTGATCTCCTTTTTTATTTCTCTCTTTTGATTTGATTCTCTCTACATCTCTCTCTCTCTCTCTCTCTCTCTCTCTACTGACATTCATCCCTCCAGCACCCACTTAAGAATCACCCTCAATTCCTGACTCCAAAATTTTACAGTCAAAAGAGAAGAAAGGAGGAAAAAAAAAAAAAAAAAAAAAAAAAAAAACTTGAAATTTGGAGTGGGTCAACCCTTTTTTAGTTGCATATGGGCAAAGCCGAAAGCCCCTTTTGGTAGGAACTTAATTACTTACATTGAGAATTTGAAAGCAAAGAAATTGATTTCCTGAAAAGAGCGATCCACAGAAAAGTAGTGTATGTAAGTATAGTATATAGAATACCCAATAATCAAAATGCTTCATACTCACTTTACAAAAAGAACATAGAAATTAAAAGCAAAGCAGGCAGCCAAAGATTGAAACAGTGGCATTTCATTTGGTACCATTATTATTATTATTTATTACTACTACGCACAGAACACACAAACATGCAGTTTTGTTTTTACGTGGACTATTAGTTTGGGTTTGCAGCATAATAAATGCTGACACCTAAGCAAATTAAAACACTGTCTGTTCCTGAAACAGAGATACATAAATGAAATGGAAATGGAAATGGAAATGGAAAGGGAAGGAAGGAGAAGGAAGGAAGGGGAGGGCATTTAGGTCAAAAGTGAAATGGTAAAAAGATGTGTTCGTATGCGTTCCCGAGGAGAAAATGAAAAATGAAAATGAAAATGGTTGGGGTTTAGGATTTGTAAGTTAGCTTTTGTTGTTAATATATAAGAGCACCCGAAGGCAAGGCAGGAGAGGGCAGAGCAGGCGTGTCGAAATTCGAATCCCCATCATTTTCTACTACTCTCTCTGTGTGTGTGCGGCATTGACAGATATAATAAGGTAAAGCATACATCGAACTACGTGATGCGACTTAAAGCCTGCGCCCTTCCTTCCTCTCCTCTCCTCTCCTCTTCTATTTCCTTCTTTTCTCTTCTTCTTCTTAATATTCCAAACTTCAATACTCTCTCTCTCTCTCTCTCTCTCCCCCCATTGCCGTTTACTCCTTCCAGTTCAGGTGGTTGAATTATTGGCCTCAAAAGTTTCCATAAATAAACTCTTTTTTATTATTATTATTTTTTTTTTTACAGCTTTCCTTTTCTTTGTAGTCGTCCAAGAAATGAGAATCTCTCGCTCTCTTCTTTATACTTTTAGTGTATGGGGTTTGTTTTTTTTAAAAAAAAAATCTTTTGGGCGAAAAAGAAAGTTTTGAATTTTGTTGGTGATATGATGATGGATTGAAATTCCAAAAGGCCAAAAGGGGAATGTATAGGAAACGCTTGTGTGTGTCTACTACTACGGCCCTCATGATTTCAACAATATTGTGTGCAAACTTTTTTGCAATGAGTACCTTTAATCACACACATAGGTTGAGGGATCGCATATGTAAAAAAGTGAAATAATAATACTTTATATTTGTTTTTATCTTTAACTTAAACTATATATATATATTTACGTGTTTATTAGGGATAATTATGATTATGGTATAACAACATGTCTATTATCGATACTTGATTATGTTAATGACTGTGACATTGAATAAAATTTTAGTTATTACAATTTTACAATTATGAAATCTCACGTCGATTGGAAAGAAAAAACAAGTACCAACGAAGTCGCTGGACTCCGAAGGAGGTGGATTGTGATCAGTTGAGGATGAAGACAATATCCGCTAGCAGTGGGCTTAGGCGGTTACAAATGGTATCAGAGCCAGACACCAGACGGTGCGCTAGCAAGGATACTGAGTCCTAAAGGAGTGACAACGAGTGGTGTGTCAGCGTGAGAGGTGGATTATGAGATCCCATATCGATTAAAAAGAGGAATGAGTGTCAGCGAGAACACTAGGTGCCAAAGGTGGGTGGATTGTGAGATTTCACATCGATTGGAGAGAGAAACAAGTGCTAGAAGACACTGGCCCCGAAAGGGGGTAGATTGTGAGATTCTACGTTAGTTGTAGAGGAGAATGAAATATTCTTTACAAGGGTGTGAAGACCTCCCCTAACAAGTGTGTAGAAACCTCTCAATCGCAAGCGTGTTTTAAAAATCTTGAGAAGATATCCAAAAGAGAAAATGGTAAGCTTAGGCTGATACAATTATATACAACATTTGAAGCAATCTAACTCGCTGTCACTCCTCAAAAAATAACATCAAAATTATTTTATAAAAAAAAAAGAAAAACATTTGTAATGATTTCTTAAAACTACATATTTAGAATAAATATTTGTAGGGTCCAAAACCATACGGATGGGTAAGAAAATGATGAGTAATTATTTGTAAATAGATTTGTAGCTGATTATTTTCATGATGCATGCCCACTTCGATTTCTCATTATTGGAAAATCCACAAACAAAATATATCGCACTTAAAAAAAAAAAAAAAAAAAAAAGAAGGAAACCCATAATATTATTAATATAAAGTTTGGAGACAATAATATTACATAAATATGAAATTTGTAAAATAAAATTTGGAAGAAGGTGAGATATTATTTGTTTATTACTTTTCTTAATTGCCAAAACACTCCCATTCCTTATTTTAAAATAAATTAAATGCTCGAAAAAATAGGTTGAACTTCATTAATTATCACATTGTGCTTAGTGCTATCTTATTTATTATCATTCTCATTCTTCTCTTTATCGATGAAACCATGTTGTATATGTTGGAATATTAAAACACGTAAAATTAATTAACTATTATGTACGTAAAATTGAAAACATATATATCATCGGATATATTTTATTTCACGCATATCATTTTTTTTTTTTTAATATCCATTTAATCGAATTTTACTCGGATTTGTCTCAAGAGGAGACCGAGACGAAACAAAAGTTTTCACATCTCTACATTTGGAGAGGGTCTCTTCATTCTTGTTAATTTTGAAAGTAAAAAATTTTAAAAAAGGTTCGAAAGTGGTTTGTAGAGTTGAATTCCAGATAATAAGTAGAAATGGGTATATATTTTTTTTTTTCATGTAAAAAGAGGAATAAGAAGAGAAATTGATTAAGAATCAAAAACTTGTAATTACTCTCTCAACCATGTTAGACTTATCCAATATACACTCCATTTGGGCATTTTTGTTCTTGTTTGTGTTAGTAAAGTCAATTTCGTTGAGGTTAATGAGTTTTTGTCCATATTTTTGTTTCCCACTCTGTTTCTGCGCACTGATCTCTCTGGTTCTTCTGCAGCGGCTGACACGGAAAAACCCAGTCCTCTTCCTAATAATAATAATAATTAAAAGGTAAAAAAAAAGAAAAAAAAAGAAAGGGTTTTGTTTTTTGTATTGTTGTTGAGGTGAGTGCAGTAAGTATGGGGCAGTCTGATGCTTCAAGCATTGTTGTTTTGGTTTGATTAAGCATGTTTATCATCTTACCTCACTCCTTTTGGGAACATTTCTTCTTTTCCCTTTTCTCCTCCACTACCCCTCAACTCTCATACTAATCTCTCCTAATCTCATATTAATTAAACCATCTAATTTTGGTTAATAACATTAACAAATTAATTTGTAATATATAATTTGGTTTGATAAAGGTTGTCAGCAACTGAGACAGATCCTACCGAGCCCCACCACCCATGGCTGCCAATTAATTAATTTATTTGAAGAGGGCAAAGAGCAAGAAGATTCTATTCTAATATGTAAAAACGCAGTGAAAGTGAAACAACGCCACCCACCACCGTACCCAGCTTCCTCTCTCTCTCTCACATCACCACCGCCGCTACCATATTATTTTATGTGTGGGGATTTCAAGAACAGACAGCCTAAAGCACACAGGGAATAGCGATAAAAAATTGCACAATTTAACGTTGCTCTTATTACCCCCGAGAAAAGAATCTAAATCCCCACAATAATAACACAACCTTCTCTCTCCCTTTTGTCTTATGTTTATGCTCTAATTATACACTTAATTCTCCAACACAAGAGAACAGACATTCTGATAATAATTGATGGACAAGAAAAGATGTAAGCTTGACTTACTGCTGCTATTATGTACCAAAAGCTAGCATTCTCCCAATTCTCCACTGTGTTTTATGGGATTGGACATCTGTATGTCCCAATTCTATAAAAACATATTCGTTTTCCTTGCCTTTATTTCCTTTCCACTTCCAATCAACAAAAATAATACTTAAAAACCTTGGTATATTCTTCATTCTATCAGCCAAATTCCCATCAATTACGTGTAAAGTCTGGTTGTTCCAACGCATATGAACTCACTTAACTTTTCCTCCGCTTGTACTGGGTGTGAGTTCATCCGTCTTTAACTTTTGGCCATGCATCAAATCTAACTCAAAAAAGAATTCAGTATTAAAAAATTCAGGGCACCACCATTTATAAGGGTGTGGAGAAGAAGCCTGGAATCTCTAAAGGTGAAGTCCAAAGAGGCTTCTGGCTTGAAAAGATGTAAGAAAAAGAAACATCTTTCCCTAATCTAAATTTGGAAAAGGGTTTGTTTGAATGAAAATATTTGTTAGAGTTACTAGGCTTCTATTTTTTGCGTACCCAAGAAAAGAGAATGAATTTTAACCCCACTTTTTGAATTACATCAAAAGCAGAGAAATAGTAGCTTTGTTTTTCCTCTCCATTACCTCTACTTTTTCTTTCTCATCCTTTATTAAAGATGCAATGCCTCAGTTTATAGCTTTTAACAACTTTAGATTATACACATCCCATTTCTGACATCCCACATCTGTCTGTGATTTTGATGATTATGAGGGATTCATGTGTTTATTATGAACCTCAATCTAAGCAACCATTCATCCTCACTTATTACCACCTTTTGCTTTTAATTCATGCAATCATGACACCCACAATGTGGATTTCAATTGAGTTAAGGATATTCAAAACTACCATGAGATTCAAATCTTGGATTATTCCTTATCAT